GAATAAAAAAAAGACATTTAAATCAGTAAGGAGGAAGGAAAACTACTTGTTTCCAGGTGACATTGATCTCAAACATAACAAAACCCTAGAAATACCACAAAAAATATTAGAACCAGTTTTTGTAAGTGAGGAAAGAGCAGAATGCAAAATGAACAAAGAAAATAAATAAAAACAAACCACCTGTGATTCTACACACCAGCATGAAAATACATGCAAAATAAATAACAAAATTATACAAGTGAAAATGGCACAGAATGAAGTATTTTGGGTTAAACTTCAAAAAGTATGTAAAATACTTGTAGAGTGAAAATGATCTATGTTGATGAAATACCTGTAAAAATGCACACAGGCCTGCAAATACACCTGTACTCACTGAATACAATTATTCAAATTGTCACAGCACCATCTACACAAACTAAACTACAAGTGCATCCCTAACCCTGTTGTTCACTTTTAAAGAATCAAATCTAAGACTGGAGCTTCATATATATGTCAGAGCACATGCAAATGGGGTGCTCTCTATGGTGATACAACCAGCCCATCCCAGATTCTGCAGCAGGTAGAGGAGCCCCAGCCCCGGGAGTCTCAGGTGCTCCCATTCTCTGATCAGGACAGAACAGACACCTCACCATGGAGTTTGTGCTTGGCTGGGTTTTCCTGGTTGCTCTTTTAAAAGGTAATTCATGGTGAATGAGAGACACAGAGTATGTGAGTGGATATGAGTGAGAAACAGTGGATGTGGGACAGATTCCTGACCAACATGTCTTGTGTCTGCAGGTGTCCACTGTGACGTGCAGCTGGTGGAGTCTGGAGAAAACCTGGTGCAGCCTGGGGGGTCCCTGAGACTCACCTGTGTGGCCTCTGGATTCACCTTCAGTAGCTATGCAATGAGCTGGGTCCGCCAGGCTCCAGGGAAGGGGCTGCAGTGGCTCGTATATGTTTATGATGATGGAAGTAGCACATACTACGCAGACTCGGTGAAGGGCCGATTCACCATCTCCAGAGACAACGCAAAGAACACGCTGTATCTGCAGATGAACAGCCTGCGGGCCGAGGACAAGGCCACATTTTACTGTGCAAGAGACAGAGTGAGGGGACCTCACTGGGAGCCCAGACACAAACCTCCCTGCAGGAGGGGATCAGCACCACCAGGGGGCGCACACTATGCACAATTCTGCTTTGTGTTGCCAGGAGCAGGTGAAGATGGAGGTTACAGGCAGGTTTCCTCTCAGGGTCTGGGGCTTCCTGTCCACAAGCAGTTTCTCCAGGGAGCCTCTCTGGACACAGGATTCTGTCTTTACCTATTACCTGTGTGAATTAGATCATTGTTTTCCTAGGAAAACTACCCTAACATGCACAAACACACAGTTGTTTGCATTGCTTACTCCTGCCCCTCAACATGAGTGAATTACAGATTTCCTGAGTCACAATAGCTGAACATTTACATGAGTCCCAGATGCACTCCCTGTGTAGTCAGGACCACAAGCTCCCACAGCTCCCCATTATCTTCACCCAGCCCTTCTCCCAAACAAACAACGTGACACTTCCTTCATGGCACTTTGCTACTCAGACTTTAAATGACCTACAGCTTTATTCAATTCCTCTAAACAAGAGATAAATCATCTCCATGTATTAGTCAGGATTCCCTCGAGCAACAGAACCCAAAGCACATTGGTCCATGACAAAATATGTTGAGAAGTCCCATGATCTACTGTCACAAGTTGGGGAGCCAGGAAAACCAAGGGTATAATTCTCACCTGATTCTGAACTAGTGTCTAGTCTCAGAACCTGCAGAGCCTATGATGTAACTCTAAGAACAAGGGCAGGAGGAGACCAATGATCCAGTTCAAAGAAGCACATGGGAAGTAAAAATGAGGGAATATTTCCTCCCTCTGCATCGGATTCTACTCAGAACTATGATGGAATGGGTGATGCCCAGGCAGAAAGAAACAATGGATGGAAATGCCAATCTCTTCTGGAAACTCATCACAGGCATACACAGAAACAGTCGTGAATCTGGACACCCATGACGCAGTCAACATGACAGATAAAGGTAATCATGACAAGTCAACCTGCTGTAAATGTCAAGTTCAAAAACTGAAGACTTAGAAGTCCATGCCATCACTGGGGTGGACCCTGGTGGACATAGCAGTGCTCCTGTGGAGAAGGAGCCCCGAGGCCCATAGGGACTGCTGCGGTTTGAGGATCCCCTGGGTCATATCGGGTGAGACAGTTACCTTCTTGGAGTGCATTTGGGAGACAGGGCATTGCCCCTCATGGGGCAGGAGAGCTGACAGGCACCATTACACTGCCCTGGTCATTAGCATAGGAGCCTCTGCTGACAGCAAACTGAACGCTCCCTTCTTGTTCTTCCTCACCATGAACTCCAAGCTCCTAGTGTTCATGAAACTGCCCTTCTGGGATAACCAGCTCCAACCACATCACAGCAAGACACTGTCCCAGAGGATCAGTGGGGTCCCTGTCGCATTGACTTCATACAATTTGGTGTACTCACACCCAGCTAGAGCTCCTGAGATAAAACATAAGAGCCCTGCGCTGCCAGGTGTGAAAATGGATTGGACAAAGGCAGGGTGAAGGCCGGGTTCTGAAGGAAGCCTGGAACCCATGAGTACAGATTGTTCTCTCTGTGGGAGGACTTCCTGAACAGGGGAAGCTGGAAACTCCAACTGCAGGGACTAGAGAAGGAGCTGATGCCAATATTTCCTCCCACCAATTATCATGGACATAATTCAGTGAGCAGCACAACACCCCCCAGTAGATACTGAGCCACTGACACCAAGCTATACCCCCCTTGCCTTCCTCGGGTGCTTCCTTACTAGGGAAAGAGTGCCTAGAACCCAGACCACCATTGCACTCCTCCCTCCAAAGACCACCATATACCCCCACAGGCACCAAGTCTACTGACCATATAGTGAGGCATAGCTTCACCTCCAGGGGACATAGGAATTAGCCTCTTTTAATAAGGAGACCAAACTCACCTAGTTAAAACTCACAATACTATGGACAAAGTTGAAAAACTCTCCCCTGGAGGCAAGGAGAACTCTGCAGAGGACTGACCTGAGGGACAGAGCAGCCAATACATGACAGCACAGTGCACACAGCACATGCAAGAAATGCTTCCAGAATGTCAGGTTGTCAACAGTATGTAAACATTTCTCAAAAAAGACACTACTCTAGAAGCAGAAAACATAACAGGATTTTCCTAAAACACTTAAGAAAGCGGAGTCATGGACATACAGAGTGATGGAGGAATTCATTCCAAAAGAAAAAACCATAAATGACATTGCCAGGGATATAATAAAAACACATATAAATCATAAGCCTCAAACAGAATTTAATACCTATCATAAGGAAACTGAACTTTTAAAAACTATCATAAGGATACTAGCTATGCTTGAGAAAACCTAGAAGACATGAGAATACCCTGACTACAGATGGAAAAGACCTAAAACCCAGTCAGGCTGAAATTTTTAAAATGCTGTAACCAAGATGTGAACCTGATTGGATATAATGAACTCAAGGCAGAAAGAACCAGATGAATGAGTAAGTGACATGGAAGATAAAATTTTGTGAGAAATGAAGCAGGAAAGAAGAGGAAAATTAAATTACTGCATCACAAACGTATACTTAGGGAATCAGCAACTCCATAAAGTGTAATAAAATTCTTTTCAAAGGAGTCCCAGAAGAAGAGAGGGAGAAAAAAGGGGAGAAGTTTTGTCTGAGTGCATTAGAGTGGAAAATCTCCACTAAATGGTGAAGGAAACAGACGTCCACATCTATGAGTCACAGAGAACTCCCATTAAAATTAGAAAAAAAAAGCAGGCCGACTCTGACACATAACATAGTAAGATTCACAAAATACACAGATTAAAAAAACCCTATAAGCATGAAGACAGAAGAGTTTGCTAACAAATACGGGAAGTTAAAAAAAGATTATGGCAGAAGTATCCACAGAAACCTGCAGGAAAGAAGGGAGTGGCATAATATCCTCAAATGTTCAATTGAAAATTAGGCAGTCAATGGGGTAGGAGACAAGATGGCAGAACAACGTGGAAGATTTTTGTGTGTCTCGTGTCCATGAAATAGAGCCAGACCAACACTAAACCATCCCACACACCTAGAAAACTGATTGAGGATTAGCACAACAATCTGCACAACCTGAACCACAGAATTCAACAAGTATGTGGTGTGGAGAGGGGACCTTGGGGAGCAAGAAGCTGCAGGAAGGGAGGTGTTTTGCAGACAGAGAGACGACGGAGACTGGGGAGTGGGGGAGAATAAAGGAAAAGCACCCCTCCCCAAAAGCAGCTGGAGAGAAAGTGGAAACTTGGAAACAGCCACAGGGACTAAACTAAAAAGGGAGAAAGGAGAGTATGTAAATTCCACTAAGACTATAAACAAGGGGAGAGCAAAGGCTGCAACTCCACAGCTCGATACGTGGAGGTGCTCTGGTGGGAAGGGAGAATCCCAGGAACAGAGTGGGGTCCGGGATGTTCTCAGGCCACACCGGGAGAGACAGTTGCACTGCTGGAAGGACATTTGGAGGAGACTGCCAAAGCCATCTGGTCCCAGCAGACCCCGGAAAACGGCCACATTTGCTGGTGTTGGAACAAGGTCGTTTAGGATGAAGCCTGATGCCAGACGTGTGTTGTGATTTTCCATAATCCATGAAACGCTGCTGCTACACTCTCTCGCGAACTTTTTCTGGGCCAGGCTGGCACCTGGCCACAGTCTCAGGGCACCAACAACAGCAGGGTCCAGCAAGCATTCCTAGCTGCAGCCGATATTCCGCCATTGCTCATTCGGCCATTGCTTGGTGAGACCCTCCCACAGAGGGGCAGAACAGGTCAAAGCTGCGGTCCCTTGGACGTAAGGGACCGGGGAAAACAGCCGCATCTGTGACAAAACTTGGGAGAGAGGTGCGGCCTGGGGCCTGGTCATGGAGAGTGAAGGAGCGGGGAGTGGACAAGGGCTGAAGACAGAGGATGGGTGTGCAATTGCTGATCCAGGAGAACAGACTGGGTACCTGGGTGGCGCCATTTTCACCTCTCCTGCGCATGTGCATTCGCACCAACAAGCACCGCAACAATCCACCCCAGGAGCCTAAAAGCGCCATCTAGTGGAGAGTGGAGCCATTACACTGAGCCCCGCCCAACTGGGCCAACAGGGCTCTTCAGGAACACAAGTCTCACTGCCGCTTACTTTATGGACTATAAAGAGCTACATAGACTGACATCTAGGGGATAAGGAAGTAATTTCGGTCCTACTTCAATCTGTTAGCCAGTTCATCTAGTCAATTTTCTTTCTTTTTTTTCTTTTTCACTTTTACACTTCTTTTCTTTTTCTTCAATGCAGAAACAGAAAAAAATATTTTTATTATCAATTATTATTAAAAATATTTTTCTTGGGGCGCCTGGGTGGCGCAGTCGGTTAAGCGTCCGACTTCAGCCAGGTCACGATCTCGCAGTCCGTGAGTTTGAGCCCCGCGTCGGGCTCTGGGCTGATGGCTCGGAGCCTGGAGCCTGGAGCCTGTTTCCGATTCTGTGTCTCCCTCTCTCTCTGCCCCTCCCCCGTTCATGCTCTGTCTCTCTCTGTCCCAAAAATAAATAACCGTTGAAAAAAAAATTTTTTTTTAATATTTTTCTTTAATTTTTATTACTATATTTTTTACTTTTCTGTATTTTTTTCAAATTCTATTTTACTTCCATCATTTTATTTTACTCTACCTCAGTGTATTCCCGTTTTCAAATTTCCACTTTCCTTTTTAGTTTTTTTATTTATTTTTCTCTTCTTCGTTTCTGTAGTTTTTCTGGAATGCAGAATGAGAGAAACTTCATTTTACTTTCAATTTCTATTAATATTTTTCTTTAATTTTTTTACTATATTGATTGCTTTTATGTAAATTTTTTCAAATTCTATTTTACTTCCATCATTTTATTTTAGTCTACTACGGTGTATTCACTTTTTGAATTTTCAAATGATTTCCTTTTTATCGTTTTTGTATCTTTTTTCTCTTTTTTGTTTCCTCTCTTTTTTCTAGAATACAGAAAAAGAAAAAAATCACATTTATTTTTAATTTTTATTAAAAATATTTTTCTTTATTTTTTCTACTATATTCTTTACTTTTCTGTATATTTTTTCAAACTCTATTTTACTCCCATCATCTCATTTTGGTCTACTCCAGTGTATTAATTTTTTCAAATTGTCAAATTATTTACTTTTGTTTCTCCCCCTCCCATTTTTTCCTCTAACCTGTCAAACCACTTTCAACACCCAGAACAAAACATACCTAGGA